TGGAGCTCCACCCCGCCACGTCTCCTCCCTCCCCCACCCACGACAGAGGGACATTGGGGTGACCTTTGTCACCGCCCGGCCCCACACGGCCCCTCCTCTCCCCAGGCCGGGGTGACTCATGGGAGCAGGACAGAGGCCTGGGGGCCGGCCGGCTAGCCCACCCTACCCCACAGCCCCACCTAGGCGGAGACCCATGGGCCTCCAGTCTGATCCTCCTCCCTGGGTCTCCGTAGGGCCTGTGCAGCTGGTTGGGAGCCAGAGCGGAAGGTGAGTGACCCCTGTGAACTCACAGCCCCCCAGAGAGATGGGGTCTCGGCTCCCGTGAGCCTCTGGGGGTCCCTCCGGGTCTGCTGCCCACGCAGGGGCTTGTGAAGTCCATTTCTAGGCCTAGGGCAACAGCTTGGGGTGATGGGGGTGGTACTGGTCTGCTCCCTGCTCACTGTGGAACCCCTCCCAATGCCTAGATCCCGGCCCCGCTGTGAAGAACCTGACTGTGGTGACTCAGAACACCAGCTCCATCTCCCTGGCCTGGGTGGCCCCCGAGAGCTCGGGCACCCAGTACACCTACTGGGTCCAGTGCACCGGAGTCGACAAAAATGAAACCCAGAACACCACAGACACCAGTCACACTGTGGGGGGACTTGCCTCGGCCTCTTGGTATATCTTTTCTGTGTGGGCAGTGAAGAACGGAGTAGCTGGCCCCAATACAACAGTCAAGGGAGCCACAGGTGAGAAGCCCCCACATCCGCTCCCTTCTTCGTTCCCTTTCGTTTTGAGAAGAAGGTGGTTGGATGTGGCTGAGAACCTGCAAGAGAATGGGTGAGATCTTCTGGCCTCTACTCAGGGCAGAGTGTCTCTCTCTCTCTCTCTCTCTCTCTCTCTCTCTTTTTTTTGAGTCAGAGTCTCACTCTGCCACCCAAGCTGGAGGGCATTGGCACACTCCCGGCCACCGCAGCCTCGACCTGCTGGGTACAGGCGGTTCTTCCACCTCTGCCTTTCAAGTAGTCAGAACTACAGGCGTGTGCCACCACGCTCAGTTAATTTTTTGATTTATTGTAGAGATGAGGTTTCGCCAAGTTGACCAGGCTGGTCTTGAACCCCTGAAATTAGGCAATCCACTCACCTCTGCTTCCAAAGTGCTGAGATGACAGGCGTGAGCCACCATGCCCGGCTGAGTGTGTCCCTGTTAGTGATCAGGGCTGTATGGGGACAAAGGTATGGCACCTGAGTTCGGGGGATTAGGGATTCCAGAATGTGGATACTCTGGCCTCTGATTCTTCTTCTAGTTCCAAAATGTATCATCTTGAGCATGGATGCTCAGGCCGTCAGCTCCACCCTGATGGGTATTTCTCCTACTCGAGGCCTTGGTCGTCAGTAGGGTAGCCACTGGTCATGTGTGGTTATTTTTTTTTATTTTTTTGAGTTGGAGTCTCACTCTGTCGCCCAGGCTGGAGTGCAGTGGCACACTCACAGCCACCCCAGCCTCAACCTGCTGGGTTCAGGGAATCCTTCTGCCTCAGGCTTCCAAGTAGCTGGAACTATAGGTGCATGCCACCATGCCTGGCTAATTTTTTTTCATTTATTGTATAGACGAGGTCTCGCGAAGTTGCCCAGGCTGATCTCAAACCTGTGGGCTCAAGCAATCCTCTCACCTTGGCCTCCCAAAGTGCTGGGATTATAGGCATGAGCCTGGCCTCATGTGGGTTATTTAAACAACTTTTTGAGTCAGAGCCTCACTCTGTCGCCCAGACTGGAGTGCAATAGCATGATCACATACCACCATGGCCTCCTGGGCTCAGGCAATCCTTCCACCTCAGCCTCCCGAGTTGCTAGGACTACAGGCAGACATCACCAGCCCAGGTTAATTTTTTGATTTTTTTGTAGAGATGAAGTCTCGAACTTCTGGTCTCAAGTGATCCCCCCGCCTCCGCCTCCCAAAGTGTTGGGATGACAGGCATGAGCCACCATGCCTAGCCTCTGTTTAAATTTAAGGTCACTGATATCACACACTATTGCCAATTTGGTTCCACACATCGCGTACATCGGAAAGGGACTCCCAGTTCCCCCATCTCCACTGGGAATCTCCCACCCTGTGGAAGGCAAGAGAGCATTTCCGACATTGCAGGACTCCGGCGTCAGTGCTGGCCCAGGTCTTTGTCACTCAAGCATGGCCCAGCGCAGGGCAGTGACCTCTTTCCGAGGCTTCACCTCCATGACCACATCCCACCAAAGGCCCCTCCTTCTTAGATGGTCACACTGGGGATTTGGTTTCAACATGTGAACTTGGGGGCATAAACACTCGGACCAGACAGTACTTGTCGCACAGCCCTTGTGTGGGCCACGTCTGCTCCCCAAGAGCTGGGTAGACACACAGAATCTTGGCCCATCCCAGCCCATCCCAGCCCATCCCGGCCCTGCCAGCTCAGAACCGTCGAGCCCGGTCCCCAGGCTGTGAACACCTTGGACTGTGTGGAAATCCTGGGTCTAGACCACACACCCTGCACCAGCTGGCAGCAGCCATTGAGGGTGGACTGGGGACTTTGGGGGCCCGCAAGCCTCTCGGCTGGTCCCCACTGTTTACCCCTCACTCACACTGAATCCTCTTCCTGATTTCCCAGCCCCCGGCCCCGTGAGGAACCTGACTGTGGTGACTCAGAACACCAGCTCCATCACCCTGGCCTGGGAGCGCCCGGACGGCCCGGACAACCTGAACTACAGTTACTGGGTCCAGTGCACCGGAGCTGGCAGAAATGACACCCAGAACACCACCACAGACACCAGCATCACGGTAGACAGACTCGAACCCGGCTCCTTGTATGAGTTCCAGATATGGGTGGAAAAGAACGGAGTCAACAGCTCCCGGGAGGCTCGACCTACAGCCACCGGTGAGGGGTGGTCGCCATCCATGTTCTTCCTTATGTTTTTTAAGGGGGAGGGGTTGAGGCCAGACAGGAGAATGTGGTAGGTTTGGGAGTCCAGGAGGAGGACAGCAGAGACCACACAGGAGAATCCCAGTGTTCCTTACTTTTGTTGCTCTTGTTTGTTTTTCTTTCTTTTTTCTTTTCTTTTTTTTTTTTGGAGTCAGGGTCTCACCCTGTGTTGCCCAGGCTGGAGTGCAGTGGCATAATCACAACTCACCCCAGCCCCGACCTGCTGGGCTCAAGCGCCTCAGCCTTCCAAGTAGCTGGAGTTACAGGCACGAGACACCACGCCCAGCTAACTTTTTGATTTATTGTAGAGACAAGGTCTCATCAAGTTGCCCAGGCTGGTCTCGAACCCCTGGGCTCAGGCAATCCTCTTGCCTTGGCCTCCCAAAGTGCTGGGATGACAGGCTTGAGCCACTGCACCTGACCCTGTTTGTTTTTATTTATTTATTTCAGTCAGGATCTCACTTCATTGCCCAGGCTGGGGTACAGTGGCACGATCATGGCTCACTGTCACCTCAACCTCCTGGGCTTGAAAGGTGCTAACCCATACCTGGCTAATTGTTTTATTTTTTGTAGAGACGAGGTCTCATTATGTTTCCCAGGCTGGTCTCGAACTCCCGGTCTCAAGCGATCCTCTCGCCTTGGCCTCAGAGCATTGGGATTACAGGTGTGAGCCGCCACGCCTGGTTGTTGTTGTTTTTGAGACAGGGTCTCGTTCTGTCACCCAGGCTGGACTGAGGTCATGTGATCATAACTCATGGCAGCCTTGATCTCCTGGGCTCAACTGATCAACCTCAACCTCCCGAGTAGCTAGGACTACAGGTGCATGCCATCATGCCTTTCTATTCTTTTAATTTGTGTAGTCACAAGGTCTCTATATGTTGCCCAGGCTGATCTGCAACTCCTGGCCTCCAGCAATCCTCCCACCTCAGCCTCCTCAGGAGTTAGGAACTATAGGCTTATACCACCATACTCAGCTAATTTTTTATTTTTATTTTTTATAACACAGGGTCAGGTCTCACTATTTTGCTTAGGCTGGTCTTGAACTCCTGGCCTTTTGACTTGGAGTCTCACTCTGTCGCCAGGGCTGGAGGGCAGTGGCACACTCCTGGGCACCGCAGCCTCGACCTGCTGGGCTCTGGCGATCCTTCTGCCTCAGCCTTCCAAGTAGCTGGAACCACAGACATGCACCCCTACACCTGGCTAATATTTAAAAAAAATTATTGTGGAGACAAGGTCTCGCCAAATTGCCCAGGCTGGTCTTGAACCTGTGGGCTCAGGCAGTCTGCAATCCTCTCACCTCTGCCTCCCAAAGTGCAAGGATTACAGGCATGAACCTCTACGCCTGGCCTGAATTTCAATTTTCTTGTTTTGTTTTGCTTTTTTGAGTTGGAGTCTCACTCTGTCCCTCAGACTGGAGTGCAGTGGCACACTCCTGGGCACCACAGCCTCAATCTACTGGGCTCCGGCGATCCTTCCACCTCTGCCTCTCGAGGAGTTGAAATTATAGGTGTGTGCTACCACGCCTGGCTAATTTTTGATTTATTGTAAAGATGAGGGCTCGTCAAGTTGCCCAGGTGGATCTCGAACCCACAGACTCAGGCAATTCACTCGCCTTGGCCCCCCAAAGTGCTGGGATTATAGGCATCAGCTTCCACCCCCGGCCTGAATTTCAATTTTCTACCATCCACACCGAAATAAGTAAAAAGAAACAGGTGAAGCCGGGCTCGGTGGCTCAGCCTGTAATCTTGCGCCTTGGGAGGCTGAGGTGAGTGAATTGCCTGAGCCCACAGGTTCGAGACCCACCTGGGCCACTTGGTGAGACCTCATCTCTACAATGAATCAAAAAAATTAGCCGGGCATGGTAGCGCACGCCTGTAGTTCCAGCTACTTGGAAGGCTGAGGCGGAAGGATCGCCGGAGCCCAGCAAGTCGAGGCTGCGGTGGCCAGGAGCGGCCACTGCACTCCAGTCTGGGCGACAGAGTGAGACTCCAACTCAAAAAAAAAAAAAAGAAAAGAAACAGGTGAAATGAATTCTCATGCGATATTTTAGATACTCCATCTGATCCAGAATATTACCCTTTCAACACGTAACTGATATTTCAAAAGATTGGCGAGACAGTTGGCCTTCCTAATTTTGCATCAGCCCTTCACGATGCAAGGTCTTACACTCAAGGCAGCTCTGAGTTCACACAGGGCAAATCACGAGAGCTCAGTTGCCACATGGAGCTCTAGGCCACCCTGTTGGCCAGCGCAGGGCTGGGCCACCCGCCTGCCCCTGCAGGCCCAGGGTTGAGGGAGGGCTGGCAAGCCTGAGGGCTGGAAACACAGCTAATGTCCCCTCCTGCCTCAATTTTCAGCTCCTAACCCCGTGAGGAACCTGACGGTGGTGACTCAGAACACAAGCTCCATCATCCTGGCTTGGGAGGCCCCCCAGGACCTGAACACATCGAATTACATCTATTGGATCCAGTGCATTGGAAACTACAAAAATGAGAACCAGAGCACCAGAGACACCAGTGTCACAGTGGGCGAACTCGAACCTGGATCCTTGTATGAGTTTCAGATATGGGCGGAAAAGAATGGAGTCAACAGCTCCCAGGAGGCTCGACATGTGGCCACCGGTGAGGGGCAGTTGCCATCCGTGGTTTTTGTTTGTTTGTTTGTTTTGAGTCCGAGTCTTCTGTCGCCCAGACTGGAGTGTAGTGGTACCCTCATGGCCACCACAGCCTCAACCTGCTGGGCTCAGGCAATCCTTCCGCCTCAGCCTTCCAAGCAGCCGGAACTACAGGCCAGCACCACCATGCCCAGTTAATTTTTTTATTTATTGTAGAAATGAGGTCTCACCAAGTTGTCGTGGCTAGTCTCGAACCCGTGGGCTCAGGCAATCCACTCACCTTGGCCTCCCAAAGTGCTGGGATTGTAGGCATGAGCCACTGTCTCCGGCCCACTTACTTTTTTTTAAGGAAAGTAATTGGGGTGGCTGAGGACAGGCAGGGGCACTTGGCTGATTGTCCAGCCCATCATCCCTTTGGGCCACTGCAAGCCAGACACTCAAGTCCACGTCCTGCGGCAGCCTCTGCTCATATGAGGAAAGAATGCCCCTGGTGTCTCTGGGTTCTAAACTGGGGATGGCTGGGTCTAGGACTCTCTGGAGTGTAGACCATAGTGCCAAGGAGTGTCTTCTTGCCCAAACAGGCATGTATAGGGGCCAAGGCATGTGGCCTGAGCACTAGAGAAATTAGATTCTGTGAATGGGGACACTCTGACCCTTTGGCTCTTCTCCTAGTTCCCGGCTATGTTGCAATTGAAGATGAAAGCTGGGTTTCTCAGCCGCATCACACTGGTGTGGCCAGCTCCCTCTCCACCTCCTCCGTCCAACACGTCACCCACAAGCCACAAGTGGTTGTTAATTGTAGCCTTACCCAAGACCCATGAAACTGCAAACTCAGTTTCACACTTCATGGACCCAAAAGCCCTGTTGAGGTCGCCCCATCCTCCACAGGGCTGGCGCCCCTGTTTTGGGCAGGGAGAGAACCCAACTTCCTCATTGCAGACCCCTCACCCTGACTGACTTTCAGGGCGAGGACCCCTTTCCTGAGGCTCCACCCCATGACCTCATCCCCTCCCAAGGGCCCCTCCCCTTAAAACAATCCCGCTGGGGATGGAGTTTCGACCTGTGAACTTGGGGTATGCAGATATTCAGGCCAGAGCAGTACTCGGCACCTGGCCCATGTGTGGGCCGTGTCCTGGTCCCCCAGAGAGTGCAGAAGCCCAGGCCCACCCTGGGCATCGAATACGACCCCCCGGGATGTAGACTCACTTGGATGTGTGGGAAGCCCTGGTCTAGACCCCACACCCCTCACCTACGGGCAGTGGCCACTGAGGTGGACAGGGGACTTCGAGGGCCCCAAATCCCCCCCGCTGGTCCCCACTGCGTTTGCACCCTGCACACGGCATCTTCTTCCTGATTCTCCAGCCCCCTGCACAGTGAGAAATCTGTCTTTGGAGCATCGGACCAATAACTCCATCACCCTGAGGTGGATGGTCCCCGAGGACCCAGACACTGGGGGCTACACCTACTGGGTCGAGCATGCTGGAAGTGATGGCAGACCTGAGCCCCAAAACACAACGAACACTAGCGTGACAGCTAAAGGACTTGAATCCGGGACGTCGTATGCGTTCTCTGTGTGGGCAGTGAAGCACGGAGTGCCTGGCTCCAGGAAGAACCTCAACATCGCCACAGGTGAGAAGTCTCAATGCTTGCCCTCTGTTAAGGTGAGAGGTGATGAACCCGCAAGGCTGGGCATGGTGGCTCACACTCGGAATCCCAGCACTTTGGGAGGCCAAGGCAGGAGGATCACTTGAGCCCAGGAGTTCGACACCAGCCTGGGCAACACAGCAAGACCTCATCTCTACAAAAAATAAAAATTAGCCAGGCATGGTGGCATGCGCCTGTAGTCCCAGTTACTTGGGAGGATGAGGCAGGGGGATCATTGGAGCTCAGAGTTAGAGGCTGCAGTGAGCTGTGATTGGACCACTGTACCAAGCCTGGGCAACAGAGTGAGACCCCATCTTGTGGCCGGGCAGTGGGGAGGGAAGGGTTGCTTCTATCCCTGTTGGATTAAAGAACACTCTTTATTCTAACTGACCAGTCTAGAGGTATCCTCAGAGGATCCTAAACACAGTCTGGCCAGCAGATGCTCAGAAAATATCTACTAAGTCCCAGGCGCAGCGGCTCATGCCTGTAAGGTGAGAGGATCACTTCAGTCCAGGAGTTTGAGACCCACCTGGGCAATTGGCAAGACCTTCTCTTTAAGGGAAAAAAAATTAACCGGGCACGGTAGTTCACACCTATAATCCCAGCAATTAGGGAGGCTGAGGTGAGAGCATTGCCTGAACCCACGGGTTCAATACCAGCCTGGGCAACTAGGTGAGACCTTGTCTCTACAATAAATCAAAAAATAAGCTGGGTGTGTCAGCACATGCACTGTAGTCCCAGCTACTTGGAAGGCTGAGGCAGAAGGATCGCATGAGCCCAGCAGGGTGAAGCTGGGGTGGCCATGAGCATGCCATTGCGCTCCAGCCTGGGCGACAGAGTGAGACTCCAACTAAAAAAAATAATATAATAATAGGAAGAACTGGCAAAGATGGTGACTACTTGGGGCCTGGGACCCGGGTCTTTAATCCGGGTCTCCCATGACTCCCCCTGCCCAAGTCCACAGGGGACATACCTTCCCCCGAGACAGGCTCTGCCCCAAAGATCTCCTGCGCTGGGCTCTGGACGTAGGGACGTGGGCATCCTGACTCTCTGCTCCTCCCGCCAGTCCCCAACCCAGTGACGGGTCTCCACGTGCGAGACCAGACCAACAGCTCCATCGCCCTGGGCTGGACAGCCCCCCAGGGCGCGGGTCACCCGCCCTACACCTACTTGGTCTCGTGGGCCAGGGAAGGCATTGCCAGCCCCGGGACCCTAAGCACCCCGAACACCAGCTTCATCCTGGAGAAGCTAGAGCCTGGCAGCCTGTACAACCTCACTGTCTGGGCATCGAGGAATGATGTCGTCAGCGATACCAGCACCCTCATGGCAACCACCGGTGAGATTCAGTCCGGTCTTGACCTGCTCTGTTGAGAGGGGGGAAGGGAAGAAACAGAGGGACTTCAGAGTTTCTGGGAAATGAGGGGTGGCCGTTGCACTCCAGCCTCATGGGAGCTTGAACCTTGTCCCATTCCTAGGGTCTTCATTCCCCCACAACCAGGGCCTCCAAACCATGGGGTCGGTCTCTTCTGCCTGTGGGAATGGGCACTGTGGGGTTGGGGAGGGCCGTGACTGTCTGGCACCTCCTCTCGGAAGCTGGCAAAGCTCTCCCCTGGGTGACTGTCAGCAACTGGCACCACAGATTTAAATTACCAAGGGGGCCCACCTCTCAGCCTCCACATAGTGAGTCCCATGCGTGATAGGAATCAGAATTAATTCTAGGACAAGGTTGACACAGAGGGATGGAACTGGGATCTCTTTAACCTTTGGCCGTTTGGGCTAAAAAGACTAAAGTTGGAGCCAGGTGCAGTGGCTCACACCTATAATTCCAGCACTTTGGGAGGCTGAGGCAGGAGGATCGCTTGAGCCCAGGAATTCAAGACCAGGCTGGGCAATATAGCTAGATGGTGTTCTAAAAAAAATTACTGGGTTGTGGTGGTGACACACACCTGTAGTCCCAGCTACTTGGGAGGCTGAGGCAGGAGGATCGCCTGAGCCCAGAAGGTCGAGGCTGTGGTGAGCTGTAAAAGCGCCACTGCACTCCAGCCTGGGTGACAGAGTAAGACTCTGACTCAAAAAAAAAAGAAAAAGGATGAAGTTGGCAGCTCCTTCTGGAAACATGGTGTGTCTCATGTGAGAAGGGAGCCTGTGCAGACTGCTCTTGGGAGAGACAATATGGGGAGGTCAAACTTTTAGGGCTGTGAAATTATGGACTACAAATCCCATCAGGCCACAGGGCCAAGACTCCATAAACTACGGTGACATGGGGTGCAAGAATTCATGGGAGTTGTAGTTTCAGGGGACTTGCGTCCACTTGGGAAGAATGGGGCAATGTGATGGGTAGGGAGTCGGGACAGAAAGGACCCAAGAGATCCCGGAGCCACAGTCCTTGGGCGTCTGGGCTCTTTTCTGTGGTTCATCCTTCCTAGTCCCTGGAGCCATGGATAACTGGGGCATCTTTGCTGGGAGGGGGAGGCGGGCAGGCTCGACAGAGGGTCTCTGAGGACACAGCCTCTCAGGCTTCTGTCCTCACCTCTCAGCTCCCAGTGAGGTCACGGATCTGCAGAACAAGACGCAGACCAACCACTCAGTCACCCTGCAGTGGATGGCTCCCGCAGACCCCTACTCCCAGCTCTACAGGTACCGGGTCCAGTGGGCCAGCGGGGGACATCCTCAGCTGGTCCCCAAGGAGAGAGGTCCTCAAGGAGAGAGGTTCAACCTATCCGCTGACTGGACCACCGAGACTTGGTACAAGGTGGAGGCTCTCGAACCCGGGACTCTGTACAACTTCAGCGTGTGGGCGGAAAGGAACAATGTGGCCAGTTCCACACGGAGCCACCATGCGTCCACAGGTGAGATGCCCCGCCCCGGGTGGGCGGGGATCCCTTCCTGGTGGGTGGGGTTCCTGTTCCCTGGTGGGTGGTGCTCCCTTTCCCTGGTGGGCGGGGCTTAGGGCAGGGGCCTTGCGGTGTGGGAGCCCGTGAGAGATGACAGGACTACAAATCCCATTAGGCCATGGGGCACGACTTTATGAGCTACAGTGACAGAGCGAGCCCACAGCCTCATGGGAGTTGTAGTTTAAGTGGACCTAATTGTGTCCATCAGAGGAGAACAGAAAATGAGATATTTTAATTTGGGGATGGGAGGGATGGGCTAGTCGCAGAGAACTGGCCTAACCAGTGGTCGTGGTGGGGGTGGGAGTGGAGGCCACCTTGGATGGTCCCTCCTGACTCTTCTCATTCCCTTCTCCCAGCCCCAAACGCCGTCACTATCACCTCCTGCGTCAGCGCCTCGGGGGGCTATGGGGTCATCCTGACCTGGTCCTGCCCCTCCGGAGGCTATGAGGTCTTCGAGCTGGAGGTGGGCGGGCAGCGGGACTCCCCGGACAGGTCGTCCTGTGGGCGTGGCGTGTCCGTATCAGGTCTCGGGCCGGCTGAGTCCTATCAGGCCACCATCATCACTGTCTGGGACGGAATGAGGGCCCCATCTGCCCCTGTGACCTGTCACACGGAGAGTACAGGTGAGCAGAGCTGCTCCAGCCAGGGAGCCGAGACCCCCTCAGGGCCTGTTGTGGGAGAATCCACTGGATGTTTATGTTTGTTTGTCTTTTGTTTCTTGTTTCCTTTACAACAACTTTGTTTAAATAGAATTCGCATAACATACAATTCATCCACTTCAATGTACAATTCAATAACTTTAGTACATTCAAAGTATCGTGCAGCCAGTTTAGAACATTTAGAACAAGCTGGGCCCAGTGACTCACACCTGTAATCCCAGCACTTTGGGAGGTGAAAGCGAAAGGATTGGGGTTTGAGACCAGCCTGGGCAACTTGAAGAGACCTCGTCTCTACAATAAACCAAAAAATTAGCCAGGTATGGTGGCGCATGCCTGTGGTTCCAGCTACTTGGAAGGCTGAGGCAGAAGGATCACCTGAGCCCAGCAAGTCAAGGGTGCAGTGGCCATGAGCATGTCCCTACCAGCCTGAACAACAGAGTGAGACTCTGACTCAAAAAAAGAAAAAAATTAGAATATTTATTACCCCAAACAAAAAACCCACTGCCCTTAGTCATCACCCCTTAATTCCAGCTCCTCATCTACAGTTCTAATCTACTTTCTGTCTATATAGATTTGTCTATTCTAGACATTTCTTTTTTTTTTTTGAGTTGGAGTCTCACTCTGTCGCCCAGACTGGAGTGCAGTGGCCACTTCTGGCCACTGCAGCCTCTACCTGCTGGGCTCCAGCAATCCTTCCACTTCAGCCTTCCGAGTAGCTGGAACTACAGGTGCGCGCTACCACGCCAGGCTAATTTTTTTATTTATTGTAGAGATGAGGTCTCACCGAGTTGCCCAGGCAGGTCTCGAACCCGCGGGCTCAGGCAATCCACTCACCTCAGCCTCCCAAGGCGCAGGATTATAGGCTGAGCCACCGAGCCCAGCTGGACATTTCATAAAAATACCATCTTGGCTGGGTGTGGTGGCTCATACCTGTCATCCCAACATGCTGAGAGGCCAAAGTGGGAGGATTTCTTTTTCTTTTTCTTTTTCTTTTTTTGAGTTAGAGTCTCACTCTGTTGCCCAGACTGGAGCTCAGTGGCACGCTCCCGGCCACCGCAGCCTTGACCTACTGGGTTCCGGCGATCCTTCCACCTCAGCCTTCCAAGTAGCTGGACTACAGGCGCACGCTACCACACCCGGCTAATTTTTTATTTATTTTAGAGACGATGTCTCAACAAGTTGCCTGGGCTGGTCTTGAGCCTACGGGCTCAGGCAATCCACTCACCTTGGCCTCCCCAAGCACTGGGATTACAGGCTGAGCCACCGAGCCCGGCAGGAGGATTTCTTGAGCCCAGGGGTTCTAGACTAGCCTGGGAAACATAGCAGGACTCTCGTCTCTAGAAAAAATTTAAAAAATTAGCGGGGCATGGTGGTGCGCACTTGTTGTCACTCAGGAGGCTGAGGCAGAAGGAGGTCAAGGGTGCTGTGAACCATAATTGTGCCACTGTACCCCAGCCTGGGCAACAGAATGAGAGCCTAAATTTAAAAAAAGAAAAGAAAAAGAAAGCACCTTGCACTGTGTGGCCTTTTGTGCCTGGCTGTGTTCACCAATCATGATGTTTTCGAGGTTTGTTCATGAAGAACCATGAACCACAGATTCACTCCTTTCTACTGAGTTGTAAGATTACACTGTGTGAATGGATTAGGTTTCATTTATCCATTTGGTAGTTGACGGATTCATTGGGCTGTTTCTACTCTTTGGCTACTATGAGTAAAGCTGTTGTGAATATGCGTGTACATGTTATTGTTTGGACGGTTGTTTTTAATCTCTCTTGGAGCCGGGCTTGGTGGCTCAGCCTGTAATCCCACGCCTTTGAGAGGCTGAGGTGAGTGGATTGCCTGAGCCCGCGGGTTCGAGACCTGCCTGGGCAACTTGGCGAGACCTCGTCTCTACAATAAATCAAAATGAGCTGGATGTGGTAGTGCACACCTGTAGTTCCAGCTACTTGGAAGGCTGAGGTAGAAGGATCGCAGAGCCCAGCAGGTTGAGGCTGCGGTAGCTGGGAACGGCCACTGCACTCCAGTCTGGGTGATAGAGTGAGACTCCGACTCAAAAAAAAAAAAAAAAGAATCTATCTTGGGTATAGACCCTGGAGCGGAATTGCTGGATCACACAGTAACTGCGTTTAACTGCCAAATCTTTTTCCAGTGTGGCTTTGTCATTTTATATTTATCAAAGGGGGCATGTAATGAAGCTTAGAGCTTAGACTCTGGAAAGTTGTGACTATATATCATGGTAGTGGCCTTAGCATCATTTTTGCACCATCAGTTACATTCTAGGGCCGGGCGTGGTGACTCACGCCTGTAATCCCAGTACTTTGGGAGGCCAAGGTGAGAGGATCACCTGAAACCAGGGGTTTGAGACTAGCCTAGCCAGCTTGACAAGACCTGTCTCTACTATAAATAAAAAAATTTAGCTGGCCATGATGATGCTTGCCTCTGATCCCATCTACTCAGACGGCTGAGGTGGGAGGACCAGGAAGCTGACACTGCAGTAAGCTGCAATGCGATCATGTGTGGGCGAAAAGAGTGAGATCCCGACTCAAAAAAAAAAGAAAGAAAGAAAAGAAAAGCCATGTATAACTTTTGCCTCCCCCATAACAGCCCACTACTGGCCTTACTGATAACATGCTTTTTGTTGTTGTTTTGGTTTTTTTTTTTTGAATCAGAGTCTCACTCTGTCATCCAGGCTAGAGTGCAGTGGCATGCACACGGCCACCGCAGCCTCAACCTGCTGGGCTCAGATGATCCTTTCGCCTCAGCCTCCCAAGTAGCTGGGACTACAGACTTGTGCCACCATGCCCGAATGATTTTTTGATTTATTGTAGAGATGAGGTCTTGCCATGTAGCTCAGGCTGGTCTCGAACCCCTGAGCTCAGGCAATTCTCTCGTCTCTGCCTCCCAAAGATCTGGAATGACAGGTGTGAGCCACCATGCCTGGTCAATGAACACATGTTTTGTGTGCCATGTGGCTTATACACTGTATCATATACTGGTGAGCTAGAGAAATGAAGGTGTTATTAAGAAAACCATAAGGAAGAGAAAATCTATTTACTGCTCACCAAGTGGAAGTGGATCATTTACCATCCAGGTATCATCTTTTTGGTCCTGGCACCTAGCAGCTGAGGAGAAGGGAGGAGGAAGGAGTGGAGGAGGGGGAGGAGAGGGAAGGAAGATAGGGCTAGGGGGAGGGAAGAGGGGGAGAGAGGAGGAGGGAGAGGGGAGGAACAGGGGGAGGAGGGAGGAGGAAGAGAGGGAGGGAGGAGGAAGGTGGGGGGAGGAGGATGACCTTGCTGTCTCAGCGTGGCTGAGGCAGGAGAATATCTACATCTAAGTGGACCTGTGCAACTCGGACCCACGATGTTCAAGGGCACCTGCCTTTGGCCCAGGTCCTGGGAGGGGCAGGTGTGGCCAGGCAGGAGATGGCCTTGACCGGGCCATTCCCCCACTGGCATCAGTGTCTGTCTCGGGAGTTCTGACCACCGCTGGGAGGAATGGAGACGGGGTCCACAGACAAGCCCAGCCTCTAAGGGCCCTTGTGCCTTCTCCCGCAGGGGTCATCGTCGGAGCCATCATGGGCGTCCTCCTGCTTCTCCTACTGGTGGGCCTGCTGATTTTCTTCCTGAAGAAGAGGTGAGACTCTGTGTGGAACTGACTGTCTGGAAGGTGAAGGTCGGAGGAAGGAGGAGGAGAACCCCTGCTCCCAGCCTCACTCCCTGAGCCTGTCATCCCAATGTCCTTTTCCCAGGAACAAGAAGAGACAAGAGAAGGCAGTGCCTAAGGATATGGTCTTCAGGTGAGCGAGAGGTTTCAGGGGCCTATAATCCCAGAACTTTCTGCCATTACCTTGGGGTGTATTCCAGAGTGGCATCGCTGGACAAATCATACCTTTTGCCAAGCATGGTAGCTCGCACCTGTAATCTCAACGATGGGAGGCTGAGATGGGAGGATCGCTTGAGCCCAGGAGTTTGAGACCAGTCTAGACCACATAGCAAGACCTCATCTCTACAAAAAAATTTAAAAATTTACCAGGCATGGTGGTAGTCCCGGTTACTCAGGAAGCTTAGGTGGGAGGATTGCCTGAGCCCAGTAGGTTGAGGCTGCAGAGCCGTGATCGTGCCACTGTACTCCAGACTGAGCAACAGAGTGAGACGAATTCTTGAAAACAAGCAAACAATGCCTTTTCTTGTATCCCAAGAGCACAGGGTTCAAGGTTACCATCTTTTCTCTCCTCTCCCCACCCCTAGCTTCCCAGGGGACATCCTGGCCAAAGACTTTGCGGAGCATGTCAGGAAGAATGAGAAGGACAGCAACTGTGGCTTTGCTGAAGAGTACCAGGTGGGGTGAGGACTGGAGCCCAGACGCCACCCAGACCTTCCACACCCTTCGGGATTAAGCAAAAGCTGCAACATGAGTCTTGTTCGAGTGTGCAGAAAGTCACGGGCATGGTTGCCTTTCCAATTCATTGGAACCTTTTTTTTTTTTTTTTTGAGTCAGAGTCTCTGTCACTCAGGCTGGAGTGCAGTGGCACGCTCCCAGCCACCGCAGCCTCAACCTGCTGGGCTTAGGTGATCCTTCTGCCTCAGCCTTCCAAGTAGCCGGAAACACAGGCATGCACTACCATCCCTGGCTGATTTATTGTAGAGATGAGGTCTCACCAAGTTGCCCAGGCTGGTCTCGAACCCCTGGACTCAGACAATCCTCTCGCCTCCGCCTCCCAAAGTGCTGGGATTGCAGGTGTGAGCCACTGTGTCTGGCTTTTTTTTTTTTTTTTTTTTTAGTGACGAAGTCCTGCTATGTTGTCCAGGCTGGCCGCAATCTCCTGGACTCAAGCAATCCTCCTGCCTTGGCCTCCCAAAGTGCTGGGATTACAAGCATGAGCCACTGCGTTCAGCTTTTTTTTTTTTTTAAAGTGACGAGGTCCTGCTATGTTGTCCAGGTTGGTCGCAAACTTCTGGGATCAAGCAGTCCTCCCACCTTGATCTCCCAAAGTGCTGAGATTACAGGCATGAGCCACCGTGTCTGGCTTTTTTTTTTTTTTAATAGTGACGAGGTCCTGCTATGTTGTTCAGGCTGGTCTCAAACTCCTGGGCTCAAGTGATCCTCCCGTCTTGGCCTCCCAAAGTGCTGGGATGACAGGCTGAGCCACCATGCTGTGCTGGCCACAACTCAATGGAATCTTAAACCAAAGAGTAACTTCCCCCTTCCACCGGGAGGGTCTAGCCCCGACTCCTGCTCTCTTGCCTGCCTGAATAAGTCTCCTGACTTCCTAAATACCCCCAGATGCCCCACGGGGTGGTGGCACACACATGTTCTAGTTTTGTGGGTGCTGTAGGATTCTGGGGTGTAAGGGAAACGTGGGGGATGTCCTCGAGGGAAAGCAAAGAAAATCCCACACCCCACACTCCTCTCTGCCTCTGCCCCAAGCAACTGGCCCTGGAGAGCCATGACCAGCCTCAGATTATAGCCTCAGCCCTAGAGAACATGACCAAGAACCGCTACAGAAACGTGCTTCCTTGTGAGTCTTAAGTGTCCGCTGCCTTCATTCGCTGCCCTGATCCTGTCAACACCCCACCCCTGGTCCCCTCTCTTACCCCTGTGAAAACATGGCTCCTCCCCTGTGGGTCCCCTTGAGCCCTGTGGGTTCCCTTGAGCGCCTTCCTGGCCCACTCCCCACAACCGAGCTCCCTCCACCCCTCCCTCTTCATCCCTACATAGCTCCCAGTATCTCTCTGCATCTTGGCATGACTTCTGTCCCTGGGTCTCAATCTCTGGGTCCCTCTGCTCTCTGCTGTCACTGATGCTGGCCTCTTGCCCTAGATGACTGGTCACGCGTGCCCCTGAAGCCCATCCCCGGGGAGCCAGGCTCCGACTACATCAATGCCAGCTTCATACCTGTAAGGTCATGGGTGGGTCCCGAGGGATGTTAGCACACCTGGGGAGGTAAGGGCCGGAGGGGCCACCCCAAGCCCCCCTGACCTGCCTGCTCCCTCCCCAGGGTCTCTGGAGCCCCCAGGAGTTCATCGCGACTCAGGGCCCCCTGCCGCAGACCGTGGGTGACTTCTGGCGCCTGGTGTGGGAACAGCAGAGCTGTACCCTGGTCATGCTGACCAACTGTGTGGAGTCCGGCCGGGTGAGGGAGCCCCCTGGGTCCCAGCCCATGAGCCTGCCCCAGACATAAGCCAGTGTAGAGCCGGCCCCGGGCTCGGCAACTCCTCCAATGTGACCCTAGCTGCCTTTGAGGGGATGGCTCCCCGACCACATGCAGGGCACGAGGTGGATCACCCTGACCCGGGGATGGGGGGCGGTCCTTCCAGCTGGTGGGAGACTGCATCTGGTGGCCCCCTGCTAGGACAGGGGGGATCCCCCCGCTCTGAACAGAAGTGCCAGAGTGCTGAGGGGCGGCCCGTTCCCTGACCGCCTCCTCTTCCAGGTCAAGTGTGAGCATTACTGGCCCCTGGACACTCAGCCCTGCACCCACGGGCACCTGCGGGTGACCCTGGTGAGCGAGAAGGTGACGGAGAACTGGACGGTGCGAGACCTTCAGCTCCTCCAGGTGGGTCCCGCCAGCCCTGACACAGCCCCCCGCGGTCCCCGGGACACACTGCACACAGGCACGCTCTGTGAACTCTGACCTTGCACCCACTCCCCCAAGCAGCCACAGTGCACCCCAAGGAACCCCCAGTCCGCCCCCCACATACTTTTCTAGAGCCTGTGAGCCCTCCCACCTTCCAGGTGGAGGAACAGAAGACCCTGTCCGTGCGGCAGTTCCACTACCTGGCCTGGCCAGATCACGGCGCCCCCCACTCCCCGGAACCCTTGCTGGCTTTCTGGAAGGAGCTCCGGCAATGGCTGGACCAGGTGGTGGAGGGAGGCCCCCCCATCGTGCACTGCAGGTGAGGGCCCACCCGGAACCCTCTCCCTTGAGAGAACCAACCCCTTGGAACCTGGACAGTGGGGTTAGATGGGCCCTGGGGATGCACATGCTGAAGCATGCACATGAAGCAGATTAGGAAGACAGCACTTTGGGGGGGCCAAGGCAGGAGGATCGCTTGAGCCCAGGAGTTCAAGACCAGCCTGGGCAACATAGCAAGACTCCCCCACAAAAAATTTAAGGATTAACCAGGTGTGACGGCGTGTCCTTGTCGTCCTAGCTACTCAGGCAGGTGAAGTGGGAGGATTGCCTGTGCCCAGAAGTTTGAGCCTGTGGGGTGAGCTATGACTATACCACTGTGTGCTAGACTGGGTGACACAGTGAGACCCTGACTCAAATAAATAAATAGATAAATGTCACAGGATTGCTTACATTACAATGGCTAATTATATGTTGAAAGGAGTTTAGAAATGAGGAGCTCAGAGTTCACCTTCCTGGGTTGGAATCCCAACTTTGTTGCTTACTAGCTGAGTGAATTCACCTTGCTCTGGCTCGCCCATCTGCACAATGAGTGTGTTGACAGATCGCACTTCTCAGGCTTGGGGGGGCGGAAAGGGCCTGTGAGGCACTCAGCATGGGGTCTAGCCAGGGGACTAGCTCAAGGCTGGGTGTAGTCATCCTCCATAAACAGCCCTCCCTCCCTTCCAAGCTCCGGGTTCCCCCTGACCCGCCCGGCAGTCTGACCCTCTTCCTTGCCCCCCACTAGTGCTGGCGTGGGCCGCACAGGCACCCTCATCGCCCTGGATGTTCTGCTCCGGCAGCTGCAGAGCGAGGGCCTCGTGGGGCCCTTTGACTTCGTGAGGAAGATGAGAGGGAGCCGGCCACTGATGGTGCAGACGGAGGTGTCACAGGCCCCCCAGGACACGGGGCTGGGGCAGGGCCTGGGGGACCCTGGGGGTCAAAGTAGCCCAGCCCAGGAGGCGCCCCTCACTCCCCGGCCCCCTCCCTAGACCCAGTACGTCTTCCTGCACCAGTGCCTCCTGCGGTTCCTCGAGCAGTCAGCCTCAGCTCTGGTGGAGAAGGAAGCCATATACGAGAATGTGGCAAACCTCATCTACGAGAACGCAGATGCCATCCGCGCCCACAAGCTGGAGGTCTGAGTGCGGTGGGGGGAAGGGCTGAGCCAACAGGTGAATATCCCCACATTCTGCATCCCCACTTGTACCTGGATTCCTGGAAGAGCAGAAGGCTGGACTCCCAGACCCCTGGGCCCTGTGGGAGGAGGGACCGGGGCCCAATGCCTGTCTCCCCAGGGGAAAGGGGTCTGGGGGCTTCAGCTCCTGAGTCCCGTGGGGACTGCAGACCTGGACTCTTGGCTCCTGGAAGGAGGAGGGGGTGGTATTTGGATTTCCCAGTTCTTTGAGGGAGGTGGAAGCTGGGAGACCAGGCGTGAGAAGAAAACAGGCTGGAACCTGGATTCTGAGGAGAGAAGGAGGGAGGGAGGGAAGGAAGGGAGGAAGGGGAAAGGAAAGGAATAAATGAATTGGGGTCTGGAATTCTGGATCCTGCCTGCCCTACTTTTACTTGGAAACCAAATCAATCTTCCTCCATCTGGGGTTGGGGGGGGTCCCCTGTCCAAGGTCTCCCTGCACCTGCTGTCTACATGTATTCTTCCTTCTATCCCATAATTTATTAAATCACTCTTCTTCCAGAACGTTTGCCCCGGTAGATTTCGGGGCCTGGAAACAATACTGGGGTGGCATGGGGGTGGGCCCCGATACCCAGGCATAGAGGCAAGGGTCCTAGTGTCCGAGGGAGGGCACGAGAGGGACCCGCAATTTTGCACCTGAAAAATTTAGGCTTGAGTAGTCGAGTCTGGGAGAAGGCTGGGTCCAGGCCTCTGAGTCCAGGGTCTAGGCAGTGTGGCAGGGAATCCCTGAAACTGGGACCCTGGCTTGCCTCCTGGGCTTGGCGTTAGGGGAGCTTAGAGGGTGATGTCCGGGGCTGACCGCTGGAGACTTGGGTGCCGAGACACGGGGAGTCTGGGTATCTGAATACTTGCCTTTCCAGAGGGGGTCTCTTGGGTCCTAGAGCCGGGGGTCCTGGCGTCCAGTTCCTAGGGCTGTACAGTGTGTGTGTGCGGGTGCGTGTGCGAGTGTGTTGCGGCGGTGGGGAGCGGTGTGGATGTCCAGCGACTGGACCAGGAAGCCCTGGGATAAACATCTGTGTGCGCCATGGAGATGGCCGGGTGGAGGTGGGGCGGGCTTTCCGCCTCCCCGGGATGGAGCACGGGCACACACTCACACTCCCTCACCCACATACACACACACACACACACACACACACACACACACACACACACACACACACTCTCTCTCTCTCTCTCTCTCTCTCTCTCTCTCTCTCTCTCGCACACATGCGCACACGCACGCACGGGTCCCGGCTCCGCTCAGCCGCGCGCCCGCCGCAATCAGCACCCGGGACAGCGCCACCGCCCACGTGCGGGGGGCGGGGTCCGGGCGGGGCCGGCGCCTCCGCGTCTCCGGGAGGGTCCTGTCCAGCTGCCGAGCAGGTAGGAGCTGCCGGAACCCCCTCCCTAAGCCCCGTCCCCATTCCCATCCCTGGAGGAACGGGGGGGGGAGGGCAAGCCCTGGGAGGGAGCAACAGAGAGTGGGAGGGTGGGAGCCTGCAGCGGCGGGGAGATCGGGATGTAGAGGCGCGGGACAGGAGCGGAGAAGACAAAGAGCCGGAGGCAGGGAGGGGTCGCAGGCGGAGGGAGGGTGAGAGACTCCGGGAGTCGGAGGCCAGACCACGGGAAAGAGACAGACGGATGGGGAGACAGATGGAGATGGGGAGACGCCTATTTGGGGCCAGGAGCCGGTCGCGAGAGGAGGTGTGAAGACAGCATGGCTGCGCGGGAGAGACCCACAGGCCGAGCGGGCTGTGGGGGCGCAGCGAGGGCTGCGGGCAGCCTCCGCCCACCCTCCGGCAAGAACGGGGAGAGGGAAGAGGGGACCGGCGTTTCCAAGGGCCAGATGCGGGGAGGGAGGAGCCAGCGTGGGCGCACGGACCACCGGCCGCCCTCTCTCCAGCCCGCTGGACCCCGGGTCCGGGTCGGGGGTCCCGGGCACCGACCCAGCCCGGGGCGAGCTTGCCCCGCGGGGACTCTGCGTCTGTGCGTCAGCCCCGCCCGTTGTCCTGGCAACAGGCCGTTGCCCGGGCGACCGGCTTTGCTCCCACCCCGCCCCAGCGGAGCTAGTCTGTTGCTCTGGGCAACGCGGCCCGCCGGTTCCCACGCCCGCCTTGGCCCACTTCCGGTTCAGGCCCCGGGGAGGGGCGAGGACCGGGCAGAAGTCAGCGGGATCCCCGAGGGGGTGGGGGTGGGGAGTGGTTGGTGAAAACGTCTCGGGGAGGCTGAAACTACAACTCCCAGCATGCCTCGCGCCGGCCGGCCGGTTCTTGCGCGGCCGGTTGCGCAAGGGGTTCATGGGAGTTGGAGTTCTTTGTCGTGCGTGGGGGAGGACTCACTGGATGCCTGGGGTGGGTGTGGGGGGCTAGGGCGCTGCAGTGCCTCCACAGAAAGGACTGTAGGACCCCGCCGCCATGTTCCCGAAGCCCCCTACCCCGGGGCCGCCATCGCCCGACACACCCCCGGACTCCAGCCGCATCGGCCACGGCCCAGGTGAGCGAGACCGGAGGGGCAGAGCGGAGGGAAAGCCCGGCCTGGATTTCCAGGGGCGGGATTCGGACGGGCAGGCGGGCTGAAAAACCCGGCTGGGAATCGGGCCGGCATCCTGGACTGGGATCTGAATGAAATGGGGAAAGGGAGGGAACGGGTTTGCAAGAGTCAGAGCTGGATCAAGGGGTGTGGCATGGAATGGGATCTCAGAATGGGGAGGCCCACCCCCTCCCCTCCTTTTACAGATAAGGAAACTGAAGCCCGAGGAGGAACAGGACTTCTAAGAGTACCAAAGGTTGAGCAGAAATTAGGATTAGGGGTAGCAGGAAAGATAAGCGCGCGAATCTGGCGGGTGTCAGCCTAGGGGAGGGCCTCAGACCTCTTCATAGGCGAAATCAGTTGCAAGCAAAACGCAGAAGGAGATGGAATGGACACAGTTGGAGGGAAGGCGAGGTCAGGACTCCAGCCTCCACGTGGAGTCGGGACTGAATGAGCCAGGCTGGTGCCAGGAACTCAGTGTGTGTCTCCACCCCACTGCAGTGGTCCCCTGGGCCCTGGCCGCCATCGTGCTAGTCTCAGGCCTGGTCGTCTTCACCTGCTGTTTCTGCCTCTTCCGGAAGCGCTGTCGGAGGCGGACAGGCAAGAAGATCCAGGCGCAAGCCCAGGTCCACCTCCAGGAAGTGAAGGGCCTGGGCCAGAGCTACATAGACAAGGTAGGCCTGGCCCAGCTCCCAACTCTGCCCCTTCCCCACCCTGTCCCTCCCAATGCCCTGTTGGCCTCAGTTGATGCTCCCTTCCCGCCTACCTTCCATCGGGTCCACTTCTCCACTGGACTCTGGGGACTTGGCGATGGATCAGATCTAGTCTCTATTCATGAGGACTTTCCAGTGTGGTGGGGGAGTCAGAGACAGACACAGACACTCAAAATACAGAGTGATATGTGTTGGGTGACAGGGCACGGTGGGAGCGCAGAAAAGGCACCTGACAGCCCAGAGGGTCAGATGGGCGAGGCTTCCTGGTGGAGGTGACTTCTGTGTTGAGACCCAAGGGATGGAATTAACTGAGAGCAGAGACAGGGACATTCTCATCAAAGCAAAAGCATGTGTGGGGGCCTGACTCCAGATTCTGTCCACATTTCGAGGGCAACTGGAAGCTTCAGAAAAGTTCTGAGCAGGAGAGGACAGGGTCAGATGGGTGTTAGGACAAGTCCTCTGGAACCCACGTGGAGGACAGATTTGGGGTGAGGAGACCGGGCAGGAGGCTGGTGCAGCAGCCTTGACCAGGGAAAGAGAGAAGCATGGGAAGAAGCCATTGGAATGAAGTGTGAAAAGACACGTGGGATCTGAACATTAGGCCTCTAAGTGCAGGGTGGAATGTGTGCTTGGAAGCCACACAGCCCTGGGCTTCCAACCCAGAGAGACCATTTCCCAGCTGTGTGACCTTGGGAAATTCACTGTCCTTCTCTGAACCTTGAGGGTTTCTTTGTTTTGGGAGTGGGGGGGTTGAGTCAGGGTCTCTGTCACCCAGGCTGGAGTGCAGGGTGCAATCACAGGTCACCGCAATCACAGGTCACCGCAACCTCAAACTCCTGGGCTCAGGTGATCCTTCTGCCTCAGCCTCCCAAGGAGCTGGGACTATAAGCACAGCTACCGCGTTTGGCTAATATTCTGATTTTTTTTTTTTTTGTAGAGACAAGGTCTCACTATGTTTCCCAGGTTTGTCTTGAACTCTTGGGCTCAAGCAATCCTCCTGCCTTGGCTTTCCAAAGTGCTGGAATTATAGGCATCAGCCACCATGCCTGGGCTTCTTCTTTAAAAAAAAAATTAATAAATAAATGGGGTCTTGCTATGTTGCCCAGGCTTGTCTTGCATGCCTGGCCTCAAGCAGTTCACCTGTCTTGGCCTTCCAAAGTGCTGGGATTACAGGCATGAGCCACCTGCCCAGCCTGAACCTCAAGTTTGTGGTCACTAACCTAGTATTTCTCCTCCTTCCTTCTCAACAAATAGCTATTACAATCATTATCCACGAGGAATGCCACTCAAGGTCCTGGTGTCCAGCCCCCATCGCTCTCCCTTAAGCTAGTGATGTTCAAAGACTACCTGCCTCAGAATCATCTGTCCTAGTTGAAATGCAAATTCTGGATCTAGCACCTGACCTACTGAATCAGAATTCCTAGAGGTGACCCCAGGCATTATGCCTCAGGACTCAGAGGAATTCTGATTCACACTGAATGCCAAGAATTGCTGGCCTTGGTTGGGTGCCGTGGCTCACACCTATAAACCCAACACTTTGGGAGGCGGAAGTGAGAGGATTACCTGAGCCCACACCACAGGTTCAAGATCAGCCTGGGCAACTTGGCAAGACCTTGTATCTACAATAAATAAAAAAATTAGCTGGGCATGGTGGTGCTCGCCTGTGATTCCAGGTACTTAGAAGGATGAAGCAGAAGGATCACCTGAGTCCAGTAGGTTGAGGCTGCGGTGGTCATGAGCACGCCACTGCATTCCAGCGTGGGTGACAGAGTGAGACTCCGACTCAAAAAAACCAAAATAATACAATAAAGTGGCAGGTACACAGTAAATATCCCATTTCTCTCCCATATTTTGCTGTGACAAGATCACCAATCAACATGGCAATTTGGACTACCACCCCAATACACCCATGAGCATGTGAAATAAAATCTGCCTCCATTCCTGTAGGCCATGAGACACTATCAGTACTTGTTTTAGTCCTGGTGGGACAACCATACTGTATATGTGTTACCATGTCTATTCCCTACCCGTAGCAGACATCACTAATCAAACATTGACAAACATAACCCCATTTGTATTGCCATGTCAATTCTCTGCCTGTGTCAGACATTACTAATCAAACACTGACTCTGCTTGGTCGGCCAGCACTCAGGTATAGCCCAAGGGATCTAGGAATCCCCCTTGGCTTCTGAGCCTGAGGGATGCTGCTCTCAGGGGAAGACTTCATCTGCCCTTGCCCCGGCTCCCTAAGGTACAGCCAGAAGTGGAGGAGCTGGAGCCAGTGCCATCCGGACCAGGGCAGCAGGTGGCAGACAAACACGACCTTGGACGACTGCAGTACTCACTGGATTATGATTTCCAGAGTGGCCAGGTGAGCGCAAAGGAAGGGGATGCTTTGCAGGGAAGGGTCCCAGGGGCCCCTTCTGAGAGGGGGCCTGGAAGGGAGGCCAAGACTGCCCCTCAACACGATGTCTGGGCCCTGCAGCTGATGGTGGGCATCCTGCAAGCAGAGGGACTGGCGGCCTTGGACCTGGGTGGCTCCTCGGACCCCTACGTGCGGGTCTACCTGCTGCCGGACAAGCGACGGCGGCACGAGACCAAGGTGCATCGGCAGACACTGAACCCACACTTTGGGGAGACCTTCGCCTTCAAGGTGAGCTCCTGCCCTCGGCGCCCAGGCCCTGGAACACTGGGGGCCGACCCCTTCGGCTTTTCTTGGAGGCAGCCACAGTTCAGGGTACAGCCACCAGCTCTTAGGCCTGCTCCCCTGGACCCTGGGTTGTCCCCTTGGGGTGCCACTGGCCCCTGGACTGCTGACTTGGTCATCGGGCTGTCCTATGGGGTCCCTTGACACCCTCCCCCAACCTCCTTTGGTCCCCTGCCCCCCTCATCCCTCGCCTTCCACCTGGACTGCTGCCCCCACCTCCTCTCCCCTACTTCCTCCTCTCCACCTCGTGTTTCCTCTGTGCTGCCCATCCAGGTCCCCTACGTGGAGTTGGGGGGCAGGGTGCTGGTCATGGCGGTGTACGACTTCGACCGCTTCTCCCGCAACGACGCCATCGGGGAGGTGCGGGTCCCCATGAGCTCGGTGGACCTGGGGCGGCCGGTGCAGGCCTGGCGGGAGCTGCAGGCGGCTCCGCGGGAGGAGGTGAGCATGCGCGACCCTCCATGCCCCGCCCCGCGCCCGGCCCCGCCCACCCATGGACCAATCAGACCACAGGACTTCCGGACCACGCCCCCAGGGTAGGCCCCGCCCGTCCCTACTGGAGCCGCTGCCCTTCCACCTGCTGCACAGGCGTAGGTGGATCCTCCCGCCCCCTCTTGGATTGAACAATTGGGTTCTTAACTCCGGGCCATTCCATTCCAAAGTTGCGGGGAGGCAAGAAAGATCAGAGACCGGCTTTGGGAGGTCAAGGTGGGAGGATCGCTTAAGGCCAGGAGTTCGAGACCAGGCTGAGTAAGATAGCGAAACTCTGTATCTACAAAAAAATTTTTTAAAAATTAGCCGGGCGTGTTGGCTCGCATCTGTGGGATCAACTACAGGGAGGCAGGGGGAAACTGAGGCAGGAGTGTCGCTTGAGCCCAGGAGTTCGAGGTTGCAGTGAGCTATGGTTGTGCTTTTGCACATCAGCCTGAGCGACAGAGCGAGACCCTGTCCCCACCCCCGAAAACAATCAGGGGATGGAGCTGCGCTCCGGTGACGGGTCCCTCTCCTTCTTTCAGCAGGAAAAGCTAGGAGACATCTGCTTCTCCCTCCGCTATGTCCCCACCGCCGGGAAGCTGACCGTCATCGTCCTGGAGGCTAAAAACCTAAAGAAGATGGACGTAGGAGGACTGTCAGGTGCGTGGGGAGCGAGTATACGGGGTGTAAGGCGGGGTGGGTCCTCTGATTCTGCCAGTTTCCAGGCCCCGAGGGTCCTTTGGGGGAGAGGGAGGCCCAGGCCGTCCTGGTAGGCGAGGAGGTGGGGGACCCGCAGGGTGTGCGGAGTGTCTCTCTGGGGGTCCGAAGCCTCACCAGTGGGAGGCCTCTAAGACTCCGTCCTCTCCCCAGACCCGTACGTCAAGGTCCACCTGCTGCAGGGCGGCAAAAAGGTGCGGAAGAAGAAAACCACCATCAAGAAGAACACGCTGAACCCCTACTACAATGAGGCTTTCAGCTTCGAGGTGCCCTGTGACCAAGTGCAGGTGAGCTCGGACCTGTCCCTCACCTCTGCCTGACCTGCCCTCTCCCAAGAACCCAGAGCTTTGGAAACTCCCGTTGCTAGGGTAAGACAGACTCTTTAGCATCCCCCCAGAAACCAGGTCCTGGGGTCTGAGGTTTTGTTCTCAATCCCAGTTTCTTCCTGTGAGGACCACGAAGCCCCAGCCACTCAAGGAAGAGAGACTCCTTACAGTTGGGCGTGGGCGGCCGGGCTTGGTGGCTCAGGGTATAATCCCGCGCCTTTGGGAGGCTGAGGTGAGCGCATTGCCTGAGCCCGCGGGTTCGAGACCC